TCCCTAATTTGCTATATGTTTTAAGAGGAATGGATCCGAAACAATTTGTTTTGTTTAGTTGCAAATTTGTCAGTTTTCATTGTATTTAGTTTTCCACTGACTTGAATGCTTACTTTCAGTTATGTCACAAAATAAAATTTGGGCAACGAAGTCAAAAGAAGAATGATTGCTTTCCGCCTGGTACCCATGCTACGCATGTATGCAAAGTTGCTGAAAAGGACAGCTAACCCCTCCTTCTTAACAGTGAGGAAGTTTCAATGCATCATACTATTTCTATAGTCAGAGGTGGGAGATAAACTTTGCCATATCAGACTCACATTCCAGAGATTGACAAAGACTGCTACCTTTTTACAAATATATGATTTCAGTGTTTTTACTTTAGTTGGGCATTAAGGTAAAATGCAGACATTGTTTTTAAAATTCATTTTTCTTTTCTTAATAAAATATATTGCTCTTAATTTCATTATGGTCCGTAGAAATACCTACAAGAAGGCTATTAGACTTCTTTATGTATTTATTTTTGCCACATCCATCTGGGAAAAATATATATATTTATTCTTTTCTACTAACATTTTAGACACTGTCTGAAATATTGTAAGACAAAGGATACTGTGTGCAGTCTAAAGATTTTCATTCTCAAAAAAAAACATTTTTAAAGGATGTATGAATAAATAACAAAATAAAAACGGTGTAAGTACATATAATTTAGATTTTTTTTTAATATTGTCTAAAAAGGAATCTATTCACTAAATTGCCTAAACAAACCGTATTAAATTAATAAATTAATGCCTCGTGGAAAAAAAAAGGCAAAAATAAAAACAGCCAAACTAAGAATGCAATATAATACAATATTCATAATTGGTTCCACATAAAAACAAACAGACAAACAAACAAAATATAGCAAAACATGAAGTATTTCATACCAGAAACAAAAGCAAAACAGTGGCCAAATTAAAATGCCAGGAGGCTTACTCCATCCCTCCCAATTACCCAGGTCATCCACTGAGCAGTCTTAAAGAATACCCATTGTTAGCTTGAAGTGTATGGGAAATCAAGAGCTGAATACATATATATCTGCAAATGTGAATATTATTGAAGGACCACTCCACTCCAATCATTCTTCTTTTGGCTTAAGCTTGCTGGAGTGCTTTATGGGTGAGGAGTATCCTATTTTACTTCCAGTTTATAAAAGTGCATATTTCATTGAGAAATTGGCTACTTTATAATTACATTGTGGAACCCCTCCCTTTACTAGAGTGCACTTGCCTTCTCCCACCAGCTGCTCACAGACATAAGACCAGTTTCTCCTCAAACCAGACCTGCGTGCATGAGAAGCTTCTGAAAGTCTCTTCCAGGAATAAAGTTCATAAGAACTGCAGCTTTTCCAAACTCTTTTAAGATAAAGTCCAGTGAATATATAGATGACGAATGTATTCATTTGTGGTATATTTTCTAACAAGTGATTTTTTTTAAATCTTATTTTATTGCAATGGGGAGTGGTTCTTTAAAGCTTATCTGGATAGTATTTAAAGATGTGTTGTTAAAATAAGCATTTATATATCTGTGCTAAATGCCTTGCACATGATTTGAGAGATGGTGGCTATTTTTCTCACCCAAGACAGCTGGAATTCTGAAAATGTCTTTTACCTGTGTTGGAGAGACGCTTATTTTATTATGATGGGTGAAATCTTAATTTTCTTTTTGTTTTAACGACTTAGTAGATATATCCCCATGGAAAACTCGAATGTATATTAATTCACATTGCTTTTCATGGGTATATTAAAATGTAGCCTGCATTAGCTGCAGATCTAGTGTCTGCAGCTATTGCAAAACCTCCCCTGAAGTGCTTTATGTGTTTGGAATAATTCTTTATTAACCACACCGCTGAACTGCACTTTTCCCTGCAAGGTAAATCAATGGATGTTTGTACAGTTGTTGTGGATGTGTTATAATTTACAGTGCCTGATTCAGTGTATACAATTACAAATACCATATTGCTGGATTTGTTTAGGGAAAGCAAATACATGCTTCATAATTACATAGTAACTCATATGAAAGTACATGCAAAATATTAGTACTGACTTTTTATTTCCATCCCAAGACAATAGCATTCTATCTGCATCTGAAAATATCAAAGAGAAGCAACACTTTGAATATTCTACAGTATTCTTTTATTTGGTAATTACCATAAAAAAACGAAACAAAAATGTTTCAGAATTATTGCCTTTTTCTTTTCTTTCCTTTAATACATATTTTATTTTTGAAAAAATAAACTGTAAAAATGTAATCACAAAGAAACAGATTGTTTTAAATATTTGCTGCTAAAGCCATAATGAAAATTAATGTACCTTAAATTCGCACTGACTATTTGCCATATTATAATTTATGAAATGGCTTTCCATGATAAATATTTATTTATATTAAGTGCATTGTTTCATTGTGAGGTTTATTAATTTAACAGATGTGAAGAATTGAAAACTAAGATTCAGTCTTCATGCTGAGTTCCTCAGCCTTAGTATCCCATTAATTAAATATGAGATGCAACTGCCAAATAGCATTATGTTGTTATTTGATCTTGTTTGAGACTCTTGTACTTTGGACCAGACCTAGATTCCCTTTTACTCTAAAGTCTTCTATTGGTTGTTATGTCAGATTTTTTTAACTCAGAAATCCTTGGTAATCCATCTTGGATTTCACCTTTGGATACATGGGCTAGTTTACAAGGTGTTGTCACGATATAAATCCAACAATAATTTAACCCCAACTATAGGAAACATAATAGAGTTCTAGTGCATAACACTGTCTATGAAACTTCATAACCAAGTGTTCTCAAGGGTCACATGGTGTTTAATTAACTACATCTGTTACAGGAGGACTAAAGTTTGAAAATGTAATGGGAGACACTAAGCACTTATCTGTGAAAAAGACAGTGCTAACATTTATCCTGAAGAACACCTTTCTACTGTGATGGTGCTTCAAACATTTGCAGGGCTTACATTTTGGTGTTATCACTCTCTGAATGAAGAATCCGAACGCTCCTTATAGAAAAACTTAGTATAATGCATTACTATGAGCAGTTGGTGATTTATGCAGTACAGCATTTGCAGCTCATGGGCAGTAAGTCCAAGTGCTTCTGTATGGAAAATTATTGGATTGGCTGAGATCATTTCAACTATGAAGCAAACATCTGAGATTATGTAAAGCCACCGGGCAGACCGGGAGATGAGGCAAGACAGACTGCATGTGATAAAAAATAATTCGATTTTCTTTATTTTCATTGTAAAATTTAACTAAAAATAATTTTAAATTTACAAGAGGAAATGAATAACATGTTTGTATGGTTAATGTTAGAGTTTCTTTTTAAATAAACAAATTGCAGGAAAAAAATAAATATTGGAACTATGAACATGTCAGGACTTATCACCTTCTCCTTTCCTTGATCAACCATTTCTCATGCTGACTTCCACATTTGGTGTGGTGTTACACGTAGAGTTGAGCGAACCCGAACTCAAAAGTTCGGGTTTGTACCGAACATTAGGTTTTTTGGACCCCGGACCCGAACACGGACATATCACTGTATGTTCGGGTTGGAGTTCGGTGTTCGGCGATTTAATGGCGCGTTTTGAAATGTTGCAGGGCAGCCAATCAACAAGAGTTTGACTCGTGTGCCCTTAAAAGCCATCACAGCCATGCCTACTAATGGCATGACTGTGATTGGCCAGTGCAGCATGTGAGCCAGCCTCTATATATAAGCTGGAGTCGGGTAGCGTCGCACGCACATGTGGTCTTATTAGTGTAGGGAGAGGATGCTGCCACTGATAGGGACTGCTTAGGAAAGAATTCTGCAAACTAGTACATTGGTGGGGTGGGGTGCACTTCATATATGAGAGTCAAATAAAAGCTTCAAATACCGCGGTTACATCAGAGTTTTAAAAAGTAAAAAAATTTTGGGTGTGAAATAGTACATTAGTGGAGTGCACTTCAAATAGAAGCATCTAATAGTTTGCTTACTTCGCAGTGGTAAACATTCTAATTGTTTTTCTGCTAAACTGCTAAATAGTACATTATGGGGCCTGTTCTTCATATCTGATAGTCAAATAGAAGCGTCTAATAGTGCGCTTTCTGTGCACTTGTAAACATCCTAATTGTTTTGCTGCTAATCTGCTAAATAGTACATTTGCGGACTGCACTTCATATCTGAGAGTCAAATAGAAGCGTCAAATAGTGCGCTTACTGCGCACTTGTAAACATTCTAATTGTTTTGCTGCTAATCTGCTAAATAGTACAAATTGAAGCGTAACTTTGATTCGAATTTACTACATCGGTCACTTGTAATATTGTTTCACACCTACAACACTTGTTACACAGATCTAAATGATAGAAAACAGATTGATATTTTCTACACTAGAAACTACCAGATAACAAGCTGCTATATTTAAACCAGTTATCAATAGCTAAGAGGTACTTAAACAATATTGTAATTCTGGGACAATACCCTCACAAGTCAAACTGAGAAGTCAGTTTATAGGGAAAACTGTTGCCTGGGTACAATTCTAAAACAATTTCAATATGTCCTTTGCAGACTTTATATACTGGAAAAACACAGGACCCTGATGCAGCTTCAGTAAAAAGAGTACTGGATACCAGAAGCCATCACCAGACTGATCCGCAACTTGGAACAGGTTGTGACATTCACTGTAGCGGCTGTGCGCGCTTTCAGCGTTCTCACCCTGCTGCTGCTCGCCTGTCTGTGCTGCAGCGTAAGTTTGGCCTTCCCGCTCACTGCCTCATATGTGACTTGCCCACAAGGTGGAACTCCGCCTTGCACATGCTGGAGAGACTGTTTGAGCAGCAGCAGGCGATAGTGGAGTTTCAGCTGCAGCAAGAACGGGTCAGTGGCTCTGCACCAGACTTCCCTCCAATTGATCAGAGTTAAAGAATTTCAAGTGGACTCATTACAATTACAGGGCCTCTAAAGAGTCCTGTATTGTTATTTGTCGTCACTACCTTCCCGCGTTGGGAGTGGGTCATTTGCGCACCTGCTGCCGTCCTTGCATTTGGTAGCCGTTTCTCAGGGTCCCTGTACGGAATGGAACCCTGATTCCCCGTTACCCATGGTCACCATGGTAGGTGCAGAATCTGGCATCGAAAGTTGATATGGATGACATCCTCATGCAAAGTCGCCGCCACGGGGATGTGCGATTTGCCCAAGGTTCTCTAGAGTCAACAAAGTTCCTGCACAACTATAATGTCAACAGCTACTCTGCGGAACAGAGTTGTCTTTTTTATGTGTCCCAATTTTTAGGGGCTACCCCAATTAAAATATATATATATAAAAATATATATAAAAACCGCCACAGTCACAGCCTCCTCAACCTATGGGTCACTTAGTATAAACTAGGTACACATTAGCAGAGGCGTGTGAAGGCCTTTTCTCCATGAATCAGGAGTTGAGCATTTCTGAATGCATCAGGACTGCAAGATATGCACCACAGGCCGCAAATGTTTCTTTATTTGTATGTCCCAATATTTTGTGGGCTACCACAATTAATAAAAAAAAAACTAAAATACAGTGTTGGCTACCTCATCCTCCTCCTCCACGGCCACGGGCACCGCCTCCTCAACTTATGGGTCACTTAGTATAAACTAGGTACACATTAGCAAAGGCTTGTGAAGGCCTTTTCTCCATGCATCAGGACTGCAAGAAATGCACCGCAGGCCGCAAATGTTTCTTTATTTGTATGTCCCAATATTTTGTGGGCTACCACAATAAAAAAAAAAAACTAAAATACAGTGTTGGCTACCTCATCCTCCTCCTCCACCGCCACGGTCACCGCCTCCTCAACCTATGGGTCACTTAGTATAAACTAGGTACACATTAGCAGAGGCTTATGAAGGCCTTTTCTCCATGCATCAGGACTGCAAGAAATGCAACGCAGTCCACAAATGTTACTTTATTTGTATGTCCCAATATTTTGTGAGCTACCACAATTAAAAAAAACCCCCATAAAATACAGTGTTGGCTACCTCCTCCTCCTCCACCGCTGCTTCCTCCTCCACCACCACGGTCACCGCCTCCTCAACCTATGGGTCACTTAGTATAAACTAGGTACACAATAGCAGAGGCTTGTGAAGGTCTTTTCTCCATGCATCAGGACTGCAAGAAATGCACCCCAGGTCGCAAATGTTACTTTATTTGTATGTCCCAATATTTTGTGGGCTACCACAATAAAAAAAACAAAAAACATAGAATACAGTGTTGGCTACCTCATCCTCCTCTTCCACCTCTGCTTCCTCATCCACCGCCATGGTCACCACCTCCTCAACTTATGGGTCACTTAGTATAAACTAGGTACACATTAGCAGAGGTTTGTGAAGGCCTTTTCTCCATGCATCAGGAGTTGAGCATTTCTCCATGCATCAGGACTGCAAGAAATGGACCGCAGGCCGCAAATGTTTCTTTATTTGTATGTCCAAATATTTTGTGGGCTACCACAATAAAAAAAAAACCATAAAATACAGTGTTGGCTACCTCCTCCTCCACCACTGCTTTCACCTACACTGCCACGGTCACCGCCTCCTCAACCTATCGGTCACGTAGTATAAACTAGGTACACAATAGCAGAGGCTTGTGAAGGCCTTTTCTCCGTGCATCAGGAGTTGAGCTCAGTTTGAACAATGAAAGAGAATACCCTGCACTCCAACCCTCTCTCAAATGGATAATTCTGTTGATCCTCCTGACAGCCATGCTTTAGATTTTGATTTATGTTCTTCCAAAGCTAAAATCAAAGATTCCATCTAGTGGTATTTTATGGCTCAGCTGTATTTTTAATTTTTATGTTATTTTAAGTGATTTCCCTTACCACATTTGTTTGCAGGGCACTTGTCCTACTCTTACCCCCATTTTACTTGCTTTTGCAATTCTCTAGCTCTTTCAAGGAGTTTTTTAGAGGGATTTTTGTGGCCAAAAGTTCGGGTACCCATTGACTTCACAGGGGTTCGGGGTCAAGTTCGAGCCCGAATCCGGACTTTTTCTCAAAGTTCGGCCGAACCCACCGGACCCGAACATCCAGGTGTCCGCTCAACTCTAGTTACACGCATGTCCTTTGCTCTGTTGAAAGGAAGCTCGTGGGCAACATTGTATTGCTCAGTTGTTTTGTTTCACTAATAGATACAAAGTTGCTACCTGAGCCCCTGTTTCTGTTCCTCTGTTGCTAAATCCTGTGTGCTTACCTTACCATGTATGCGAACATCTCCTCTCTAGACCTATTGTCTGTTGAATTAGGCGCATGTAAGTTTTATCATTGACTCCTAAGTCTTATATTTGCACTGTTTCAAATTGTTTACAGTAATCTTAAAGGAAGTTCATATTTGCATCACTGTTTGTATACAACCCTGACTTCTAATTGCTATATTCCACTTTGGAAAAATCTATTGAAAACCAAACTGATATATACAAATATTCAATTTAAAGATACATTACTTCAAATTGCCATATCTGAATTTGTGTTCCACCCTGCCTATACCAATTTGAGCCTGACAGAACATCCCCAACGATTATTTTAATTAAAATATAAATGTATGGCACAGGTCATCCTCAAGAAGTGTGTCTACTAATATTCAGTATACATATAGTGTAAAATCATAGTAGTTGTTTTTGTTCACATCATACCATGCCAAGTCCACTGATGCTTCAAGTACCCTAATATCGATGGGTATCTTCCCATGCTTTCCAATATCTGAGTAAGGACTTTCCCTGCTATTGAAGCCCTGTCTGAGCAGAGCTTTCCATGGATTAATTTTGTCATGGCATGTTTTTAATTTATTCAGTTTTGTTTTTTTGTTTGTTCTTTTGCCTCAGGAATTATAGATTTATATTTGGCCTTTTTGGGGGCTGAAAAACAGAACAAGTAGAAGAAAGAAGACTTCTGATGGTAACATTTATTTCCCCCCTCATTATTATTAAGGACATTGCTATGTAATGGGGGCTGTCTAGGGGGCTGCATATTATAATTATGGCCCCATTTGCCTCCAATGTAATAATAGCCCCCACCAACTGACCACGGTGAGGGAAGTCTCCCTCTATTTTATGACATATACCCATCCACTGGCTGCAGGTGGGGATGGGTGGTGTGGGGGTGGTAGACAGAAATATGTCCACTCCCCATTACTTATTTAAAAGTCCCCCACCATTATTTAATAGAGTTATTATTTATTTATTTAACTTTTTTAATGTGGTGACTGCCTATCACACACTGGCTAGTGGCCATAGATTTAAAGCTGCTGCTGCCACAGAGGGTTTTTAACTGCTTTTCCACTGGGTTTTGAATCCAAACAGACTTTTCGTCCATTATCTGACGCTGAACATCCTCATGCTCTGCATGAGGACCTCCAGCGTCAGATTTTCCCCATAGAAAAGCATTGATTCAATGCTTTCCTATGGGGAGGTCTAATGCGCGCGCGCGGGACGGAGGAGGGGACGGATGGAGGAGGGGGCGCAGCTTTGATCCAGCGCTGAGGGACATTGGTGCTGGAATAAGGTAAATAAATAAAGGGTTTTTAACCCTTTATTTACTGGGGAGGGAGGGTGCGAGGGAGTGGGGAGGCTTTGTATTCCTGACACTACAGTATGCCTTTAACTTTTCCTCCTCTCTTTTTTAATATGAAAGAATTACACAATTTTGACACATTATACATAAATTAAAAAGAGGCACTGGCACTTACTGCAGTTGTGTGGGATGTAATCAATATTCTACAGCATATATCTCTTTATTTTCTAAATAAATCAATACTCTTAGGATTATTCACTAAAGTAAGAATTTTAGGTGATTTCAGGGTAAATTTTAAATTTAAGGTCAACATAGCTATTAGTTTAGTTTAGCTACTCTAGCCTTCATTTTGAAAGTCACCTTGAATCCTCACTTTAGTGAATAACCCTGAATCAGCATGTCTTTCTACAAATCAACATAGTATTAATATTTTATCATTTTTAAATTGGAATTACACATTAGTATTGTACTTTCATTACTGGGTTTTAAGGAGCATTCTTATATGTCTGATTGACAGTGGTATATTTAGATCTATACTTGACAGTCCTCAATGGTCATGTGTAACTAAGTATTTGACTTAGAAGCTCTTAAAAGGATGTTTTAGATAGGAAAGCTTTATGTATTTTTGAAAAGTGATTTTAAAATTCTCACACAATAATATGCCTTCTTTTTTTAAAAATATGTGTTTGTAGGTGAAGTTATTTACAATGCCATTCAGCATAGTTAACTTTACACTACAAGCCCTAATGTTTTAATCTTACTTTGCCCTTGTCCTTTACAGCATTATAAATCAACATGACACTTCTCACTTGGTTAACCTTGGCCTTAGCAGTGCATCTAATATAGTGCTAAACAGAAGGAAAATACAACCTTTTCAAGCAGCATGTTCTGGAAAGGTATGATAAAGATATCCTAATTTTATTACAGCGTCATTTGAGTTGAGTTCTATTTTTAAATAGGCTGTCAGTTATCACTGCAAAATATTATAAATGTATACCAAATAAAATCAAACACTAACATTCTAAAACAGTTTGTCTCATGTCCTTCTAAAAAAAATAAACACATCTTAGAGTTAGCCTGTAAATGTTTCAAGGATAAAGTTTAAATGAATGGAATTAAAATGCCAAGTGGTATAAGATAATTATACGTATTTTACAGTTTATATTCAAGTGACAGGTTTTAAAAAGGGCGATGGAAGATGTCATATAAAAGAGAAGAAGTCCTTATTGATCCAACACACTACAGTGCTTGGAATGTCAAGGCAGATGGTTCATTTCTATGTAAAATAAAAGTGATATAGGGAATGGTGGCATGAGGACATTGACAAAGATAGTGAAAGGATTCTGTGATTATCTTCATGTTACCATCTAGCAGGTCTTTTGGTGCATTTCATCGTATTTCATTTTTTATTACTGGTCTGTAGACCTATCCTCCTTAGCATTTCGTTTCTGTCGCCAGTTTGTTGGCTCAATCATTCATCTAAAACATTGGACAGTTTTGCCTGAACAGCTACCTCAAGATCCAGATTAAAGGACATCAAAAGCATGCAGTTAATATCTAAATGTGTATTGACTTTGAAGCATGACAATTATATTTCCCTTTTTAATGTCTTCTACAAGGAGCCTCTTTGCTCTTACCTCTGTAACTATAATGCTGGATGAACTCGCTTTGCACATCTGATGTAAGTGCCATGTTGTTATCACTGCTGCTGTCGTTTTATTAACAAAATATCTTTTAAAATGTATTGAATTTAAAGATATCTCTGTA